TAAACTATTAAAAATACTTGTTTTATGGAAACTGGAAATGCTTACTGGAAATGCTTTTGATAAATCAAATATTAACTTTACAATTACTTATGTGATACTTTCCATCCTTTTCAAATAATAAATTTATTTCTTAAATTTTAATAAACTAACAATTTTTAAACAATATTTTAAGGAAATGAATAATCTAAATGATGAAATTTTAGGGTGATGAAGAAGGATCATTTGATTCAATCAATAGTTCACATATCTCAACAAATGAACTGGCTAGTTTTTTTTTTTCCTTTTTTAAAGATTAAATATTCTTTTTTTCTTTCATATATATATATTGTAAGTAAGGAGTGAGAACCATTTCGACTGCTGTTATAACACCACTGAAAAGTTTGAAAATGTGGAGAGAAAATGAAAGGCATAATTACAATTGCCGTTTTGAAATCAGCAATTGCAGTGAACCACAACGTCCACTCTCTACACGAACTTTGAGTATTCGATCGAAAAATTAAAGTTATTATTGATATAATGACAATTTGAATTTCCAAGGTAGTAGGCCCTAAGTTTTTTCTTGATAAACATTCAACAGTATGCAATATAAACAAAAATACGCGTAAACTGGAAATGAGAAAGCTTAATATAAAAACAGTGAAATATAGAAGGAACAAGAAATTGCAGCACCAAAGCAGAAAATTTGCTGAATAATGATAAATGAGTCTGATGGAATTTAGCTTGAACTCGCCATCAGCATATTCAGCATATATATCATTATATGATCATAACTATAGCTAAAATAGGATATAGTAAACTTTCTGAAATAATCTTTTAAGATTACAGTGGCTGTCACTTCGTAATCACCTTGCAATAATTTGAATCTTTTATTTCTTTATGCTAAATTTAAGGGGAAAAAGAGAAGACAAGCACAAACTCAATTTCTCTGCTCATTTTGCTATAGCTCCTTGTTTCAATACGATGCAAGTGGATATCTAACAAACCGGGGAAGCATTTACGCTTTCTCGGCTGTTAATGTAAATTGGGTTGCCAAAATGGCCGATTTTAAATTCCCGATAGATGAACCAAAATTTGCTAGTACTCAAAAATTTTACTTATATATACATTGTGGTCCTGAGATGACTTTGAGAGTCTATCGGTATTCGAGGCAGAAGCAGTCTATTCCCAACTGATTATAAATAGATTATAAATCAAAAGAATCCTCCCCAGCAAATCCAGGCGAAAAAAAAGTCGTATTCACGAATCTGTTAAATCTTTTATTTAATTAAATTTTGAGGGAGCGAAAGCTTTCTAAAATATTTTACGTCTCAAGTGATTCAACTTGAGCAAAAACAGTTTATCGTATGAATCTAGAAGCTACAAAGTGTTGCGAATTGCAACAGTTAAGGATCATAATGAACTGTGTTGCTTTTATAGCTTATCCGATATTTTGCACCGAGGTTTCGGAATACCAGGATTTAGAAGGGAAAAGCGAAGGGAAGCTGGAAGATAATAAGAGACAAAGAGGAAATGGAGACAAATGAAAGGGGAGAAGGAGAAAGAATGGAGATATTTCTGCATGTGTATTATATGCTACCTCATGTAAACTAACCAGCCAAATATTGCGAACGAGCATTGCGACTGTTCTATCCCTATGGCTGGGATATAACAGTTAATGGGGCCATATAATTATTGAGACCATATACGACATCCAGCCTTGTTGAATTAGTAAAGAACTATTCCATGTGACATTTAATAGTTACATTGTGAACAAATAAAGTAAAAATGTAAAAAAAGCGAAGAGTTTAACTTTTATTTTCCATTTATCATGGTATTGCTAAAGTATCAACTTTTCTCAAGAAGCCATTCTTACATTTGACTTCAGTATACTACAGTACTAGATCATCATATTTAATACGGATTGTCAAATATTCGGCCCACATCCATATGAGTACTAGTTAGCTTTAACTATCGAATAAGTATAGGGATTGTGGTAGTCATAAGTGCACATATATATAACTGTCAGATAAATGTTAGCGATATTAATCATTGCTATGTTCACAACAGCGACGATATTGAAGCTATGTTCTCATTTACCATATATCTTAGATTGTTTGTTACTCAAAATTTTAAACTGATCTGTTCTTTGACATCAAAATGGCTAATTGAAGAGTAAATACGCGAAATATAAAAAAAGAGAACTATGGATGGAGTGTAGTAATGGATCAACACATGATCAAGTGAAAACGGTGAGTAGAAAGGGGGAGAGCTGGGATGTGGGGAGGGGAAAAATGTTTTGGTCCGATGCCCAGTCGTGGAAGTTCTCAGATTGCTAAGATTGATGATTCTTTTCTCACTTGCTCGCTTGAAAAGATTGATTATTTCATCGATTGAACAGTTGGGAGAAACTTTCAACACCAACAGTAGGGACAGTTGGAATGAAACAAGGATAGATAGATGAATGGATGGATGGGTGAATGGAAGAAATAAGTTTGTTTCCGAGAAAGTCTAAATGCAAGGATCGACATCGTGTTTCTAGCGTACCTTCATAATGTACTGATGTCAAATATTCTTCTTCCTAGACTTATCATGTTTCTCAACTACTAATTGCACCATTGTAATTTCGAAGGACTGATCAGCAAACAGCAGAATAATCACAAAATGAATGAACAATATTGAAAAAGTGATTGATACTTATCATTGATATTTCCCATTTATAGCCAAATCTGATAACTTTCTAGCAACGGAATGAATTCCACGAAGATCTGCAAAGCTTTTTTTCAAGCGAGATTTCGAAATACTTCGACGGAAGTCTTACTTTTGTCACCTCCGTCAATTTGTTCCACTTGTTCCGAGTAGAGTGAACTCTCTACTATCTTACAATGAGCATAATCCTAATTTCCTCAACTTATTTGATTGCAACTTAACTAATGTCACCATATCTAGAAATACAAAAGCTCTTTAATTTTGAATATCTGTAACGCTAGACAATCATGTATTGGTAATCATCCTCTTAAACCAAAAAAAAGCCTTCACAGCTAACAGAAATAAATTGAAGGACAAGAAAAAGTGAACGAAAATGAAAAGTGGAAGGAAATTCGTTGACAGAGATACAATCAGTTGTGATACTGATAAAATTGACCGAATAAATATGATGGTATTCGTGAAATAAACCCAAAAACTGAATTTTTGTGGTAACTAGCTGTCAAATTAAAATTTGATTGAAAGACACATTTCGACTTCAATTTAATGCAAAAACTGCCTTAAACTGGCAGTTATCTATTTCAGGGATCCCCTAAATTTCCATGGATTTCTAGCTTTTGTAGAATTACAAGACAAAATTTACATTTCCTTGAACAGTAAGCTTCATGTTTTCAGTATTCATAAGGTATAACAGATATAGCGAATGAATGGATTTTATTATTGAAAATGAACGAAATCACTAAAACTAATGAAAATTTTTTTAAGTTTCTAATAAAAAAACCCAGACAGAAACTTTACACTGTTCATACATGGGATTCAATTCGAATTGCATAAAATGGAAATTAAGAGTTAATCTATTAGATTTATTCTTGACCATTTCTTGAAAATGGGTCCGGTGGTTTCTCCTCTTCAAAGAAAAGCTAATTTTTTGCGTCACGTCCGGATAATATGCAATTCCATTCCTACGTAAGTCCGAAATCACTAAATTTATTGCTTGCAACAATGCGGGTTTTTCTTATATTTTCTACTTTGTTGAAACGAAGACGAGAACATTTTAAGAATTAGTTAGGAAGAAATATGAATCATATCAATATTATTTGTTTCTGCTCAAGGTACAAGTAAAATTAGTACCAAATATCAATCAAAAAACAGTTTGCTTTGAGAAAATTTTAAGATGTAGAAAACAATGAGAAGGCTATGAAAAGAAATAAGATTGAAATCATAACGAATGGTACTTCATGTTATCATGATATAAATTAGGCGAAATGAATCAGAAAAAACCAGCTGATAAGAAAATGTAAAGTGACCTGCATACATTTATGAATTAGAAAGAAAAATGAAACACGACTTCTACAAATTTCGTTGCAAAATATGTGCGTATCGATTGGACAAATTCAACGACAGGAGAAGAGAACTGCTTTTATTGTCAAGGTTTGATGGAGTACTTCATTTTATGTTGGAATTTAAATAAAACAGTGATAAGTGGGAAAATATTTAAATTGAGATGAAAAGGACTTATTTTGAGTGACTAGAAGCGAACATTGAGAATTATTGGCACTTCAATAACAATAACTGCATGAAATCGAATTAAGAGAATGGATCATGACAAGTTTCACAACTTAAGCAATTATGCAACAATTACAATAGCGCTGCAAGAAATTCTGATCAGTAAAGACGATTATTTGAAATAATCTACGCACGACAGACACAATATTAGCAATAATAATTTCTTAACAGAGACAAATACAAAATATTACTGAAAGTGCTGACAATGATTTTTTCCTAGGACAAAAGAATGAAATGTTCCTGAAAATATCGAAGTCTCCATACAGTTGATTTCAAATAAGCAATAACTGCAGCATTACAATTGCTGGAAACGACGCCTTGTCATCCATACATTTTTTTCGCAAAGGAAACAATCTATCATACTGAATAAACAAAATCTAGCATCATTTGTTACGTCAATTTGACGCTAATTTAGATATTTACTTGCATCAATTTAGTGCGCGATCGTTCTCTAGAACAGTATCAAACGAACAGGTAAGCGAAACATTTTTTTTTACACAGTTTTCTTTTTGCTTAACTCAGTTTTATTACTAGCGTCCGCTGTATATGAACGACATCAATTAATGCTTACTGAAAAATCAAACTCTGAGACGACTGTAATAGTCGAATGTTACTATTAGGTGTGGAATCCAAAAGCTTGAACTTCGAATTTCTGTATGTTCCATAATTCCACCCACAATACAATTAGTTAAAATATAAATGCTAAACAGAGCAATAAAAACAATCACAGGTAATATAACTGACCATTGCCATTGCTGTTAGTGATGGATCGGACTACAAGAATGTCTATATTATAATGGTCCGCCTGATACATTAACCGCCTATATTATCATCTGTTCGTTATACAACTAATCACGAAAGGAATAATAAATATCCCTCAGATATAATGCCTTCTGTTGCAGTGAATCAAATTGGGCGATGGTCTTACTGCTCGGTTTGCACCATCTTAAAGGTTATCTCCTTGTTTGGCCTCTTTAATTCTTAGCACTATTATTTTTCTTTTTAAGTCAGAAATCTGATTAGCTGCTTTCACTTACCTTGTACATGCTTGTCTTTACTTGATTCACATGATGTGATTTAAATAGCACTGAAAATCCATCATGTTTGAAAATAATATTACTTATAATTGTTGATTAAAAATGACAAAAACGATTTTCAATCGTCAAAATTGACGGGAACTTTCCAAAGATTCATAATTATTGTACTTTATTACAAATTGGAAAAATCAGCAATACAAAAATCTTTATTTTTGTTTACGTTTTTGTTCATTCTTTCAAAGCAGCTTTTATGACAAACAGATGGATTACTGTTCATCAAGAAATATTTTAATTATTCACAGAAATAACATACAATTGAATAAGATACTGCGTTAACCCAAAAAAATGTCGGAAAGCGTGGGAAAAATCAGTGAAAAGAGACTGAGGAAACTAAGACCCAAATAAACCATTTATTTGCGAAATTGTTTCTTGTTTAGCAGAAAATATCAATTTATGATTCCTAAATTTTGGGCTACTGAATGATGTTGATCAGCACTCACCGACTGCTGTTAAACGATAGCTTGGAATTGAATCGAAGCAAGAAAAGAGAAAAATCAAATTTCAGATTATTTGCTGCATCCTTTTCAGCAAGTTCCACTGTTTCTCAGAAGGAAGGAAGTCTCATACTATCATTATTATTTATTAACTGAACAGGGAATATGAAATAAAGCGGGGAGGATGAAGCACCAGGGAGACAGACCTTGGTGAGAGGAAGATATTGCGCGACATGAAAATACAAAGTGGACCTAATGACGCTGTTTGCCTTTCTGATTATATGCTTATCAGTTTAGTACATCTTCCAAACCGTTGCTCAGCAGAACTGTTTGCCAAATCTGTTCTTTCTTTTCGCTCTTCTTATTCTAATGCCTCCTCATCTTCCATGCACAACATATTCACCGGTTTTAGGACTTTTTGTTCCTGATTCTTGCAGAAGATTTTAATTCCGACTCCTTTTCAGAAATTTAATGAGGATAAGGAAGAGAGTAAGAAGACAGAAAATTTACTGTTAACAAATATTGTATGAAACAAAACAGTTTAATACATCCCATTAAAGTAACATTTCTTCCTGCTTTTTGGTAGGGTAACAAAGTGTAATCTAAACTCTTAATTAAGCCTCATTCTCGTTACAATTTTTGAATTTGAGAACATTCTGTTTATTCTCATAGATAACCTCGCAATTGCTAACTTCGCAGTTTCTAAGTCGGATTTGAGATATGCAGAAGTGCTACAAGTGGTCTTATTATTATTACAGAAAAATTGCAAACGACAATAAAAGTGTCATGAAATTTATTTAAACTAACTAGTCTGAAAATTTAGACGATAAAGGTACTTCTTTTATGAAGTAAGTGAACTTCACATAAGCTTTAAAAAACTGATTTGATACAATTGAATGCCTTCGACCAATAGGCATTGTAACTGTTTCTGCCAGTGTTTTGAAGAATAATCAGTGAAATGAAATTAAAAAGTTGGTGTATTCCGATAGTGAGCTAAATTTGAATTAAAGTAGCTAAAAATTCAGCTAACTGGCAGTGATATCGGGAAGTAATGCGTGCGCCACTCAAATTTGCCAGCATATTTTTCCGGTTCATTTTTGTGATTGTTTTGATTCAACGATGTATGTTTCTTTTCATCTAAAGTGACGTTTATGGAACTTCGAGGAAGCTTAACAATGAAAAGTGAAATCCGTATAACTGAAGCATATACCTTGCCGAATTGGGAAACCTTAAATTTCATAGCAAAGTAGCATTATAGCATAACTTTGGAAAAATGTTATCTCGATACATGCTTCTCGAAAAATTTTTCTCTGCTTTTCTTATTGATAAGTTGACGAGCTAGAAAGGATTGCTAAAATGAGGAAGCTGATAAAGAGGAAATCCGTCTATCATTGAGTTCATGTTACATTTAGTCGAAAATGGGAGTTTTTTCAGCAAGTTAAATCAGAGTAACGACTACACAGAGGTCAAAATCGAGAACTGAAATTGAAGGGTACGAGTTGTGTGCTTTGTTGCGCAAAAATTCGGGCTACATTAAGCAATGAATGCTTTAAAGAGGTTGTGCTAGTATCGGAAAGAGTAGTAGAGTACTCGTACATGAATCTGCTTCAATCTGCTTCGTACATGAATCTGTCACGTTTATCTGTAGTGAGAAGCAACTATTGCAAATATTGATGTTTTTAGTAAAAAGAGAAAGGAAAGATTCTAGATCGGGAGAGACTAAACGAGTATGTGGAAACTAGTATTAATGTTGAAAAATAATTTGCTTATTACAAATTAAGTCTGTCATCATCTTTATCAAGCTTAAAAACGTACATAACTAGTGGCTCTGATGATTCTTATTGGTCGTATCAAATTTTTGGCCAAAATCAAAATAATATTTCGCAACTCATTCCATGCACAACAGTTTCTGAAAATCATCAATTTTTTTTAAGATGGAGCAATTCTTTCCGACATTTTTTTTCTGTGTAGTATAATTTTTCACTCCATTTTCTACATTTGTCATAATTAAAATATTTGGCTAATTTTTGTACCCAAGGATGTGAGAGACTTCTTAAAGTTCTTTGAAAAATTAATGAAAACAAAAAATAGTAACCAGAATCTTTTTCGTTTTTGCGGTAATGTTTGTACAGTTTCCCTTATTCCGAAATTAGTTACTGCTGTTAACAAACAAAGAAAGATTTGGACAAATGAGAAACCTAAAATCGCTTCTAAAAGTTCCTGGAAACACATTTATCGAGTTGGAAAATCCTGTACTACATGATCCACTTTAAACGAATCTAACTAACACTATGGCTGTCATCGTGTCATCTGACAATTCTTTTTTTTCCATTCATTTTCAAGCTCATACATGAAGGAAAAGTTCGCTGAAAATTCACAGCAAAATTTACTGCTATTAAAATTTAGTGCCTGCTCCTTTTTCTTTTTAATTTGTCTTTTTGCAAAAATAAATGCAGAAAAACGAATACTTCACTTCATTGTTAATCAAATTAAAGGCTGAGGGTGGCGAAAGCAAAAACTGCTTTATGGGACAGGATGAAATTAACTTCTAACGCGTCAGAGCGTAATTTCTTACTCAGGATAGAACCAAGAGATAAAGTAGTCTGCTCCTTTTTCTTTTTAATGATTTTTTATCGCTGCAAATTGTAGCAATGAGACAGTGATGACAAAAAGCAAGTTTACACTCTCCTTAACCACTAAATTCTAGCTTACATTTACTGGTGATGCTACTGGCGAAATACATGCTACTATAAAGCTAACAAATAAAAGTGATTCACGACAAGCATTCAAAGTAAAATGTACAAGGAATGATTTATTTCGTATAAGACCAGCCACTGGAATCCTCGATTATGGACAAACCATTCGTATTGATATTACTTACAAGTTCAGCATCTTCCTGTTTTAAGTTTCATTGCCCTAATTTCATCAAATAAAAGATTGCAGGAAGAGAATCGGCAGAAAAAGCAATACTTTTAGTCGTTGCATAACAAACGTAACTTTTTAAACTTTACTTGAAAAAAATGAGACTGAGGAAAATCATGTCCAACTGAGCATCCATTAATCACCTTATTGTTTCAGGTCAAAGTTGTTTCTTAGGTTAAGATTGTTTGGATCACGTTAAATGTTTTTAATTTGATGATAGCGTTACAAAGTGACGGAGGCATATTTTTCTGCGCAATAAATCTGAAAATTAATGAGGTCAAGTTGCGGTAAAGTTTAATAATGGATTTTTGCAGATGTATTAACAATCAGGTACCGGAATCTGACAGACATCACTTTGGTATCTATCATATACCAGCGCCAGAAGGAGCAACATGCGCTGGAGCCTGGGCTGAACATTATGGGCCTCCACAAGGAGAACTTCGAATGAAAGTATTTGTTAAACAGTGCGCTTCTGTAGTTAATGAAATCCTCATTTAAAATCTGTAGTCCTCCTGGTACTTTAAATTTAATTTAGTGATATTCAACTACACCGACGACCCATCAGTTACCTAACCGATTGATTTCATTGTGCATCTTCGGTATTTAGGCTGCTACGGACAAGTCAGGCAAATGATTCCAAGAGGAAGCTTGCAATGTCAGCTGTGAAACCGCGTCGTTTAAATCTTTCGCCAATCAGGCGAGCGGTGATTTTGTGCATGCAATGTGTTTCCTGCCGCTCCTGCATATATTGATTGCCTGGGCTCTGCTGGCTACTTAATATTTGCTTTAATCCCCTTCTGATTAAACTTTCTAAGTAGTACAGAGTGTATGTTCTACTGAATTTGCAAGATATTTATTCATGATTATTTCAGGTCTTTTTTCAAAACGTAAAAAAACGATCACCACCTGAAAACAACGACGAGAACGTGAATGTCGAGAATTCAAATTCAAGAAAGTAGGAGTAAATCAAGGATGATTGTTCCTATTCAGAGTGTACTGCAATTTAGCAAAATTGATCAAACATAATAAAGCTAAGTAAAATATCAGTTGCATTTATTAACCATTTCAAGTTGTTTGGCTCATTTCTTCTCTTAAAATGTTGTTAACAAAATTCCCCGGATCACTATCTGCTTTGCAACAACTCATCATGTGATCTTATTGTTTCGTGCTCAGAATAATGGATTAAAAGTGCTCTATTAGTATTTAGCACAAAACTTAAACGTAGCAGCTGAAACTGTCAAGAGACTTATCATTTCCGCATGCATCATAATTATCCCTGCGTTACTGAGTGACAGACACGAGATTCCCTTTATTTGGCATTCTAATCAGCTTGGAGTTACGAACATCAAATCACTGAGAGAATTCCCTCCTACCTGTGCAATCAATTATCATGCACTTCTTGTCTAATGCAGCTGCAGACTCCTATGCGTTCATTTTCGTTGTTAGCTACTAGTCAAGATGGCCCAGTTGTTGTTGATGGCTGGCGTATTGGTATTGATTGGTGGGAGGTACTCCTCACTGGTATTATCACGTCCTCTTGCTAAATCTTCTTAAATAACGTTGATCATGAGTTTACGGATCAGTGCGGAGTATTCGGCAGATACGTCAAAAGAAATGGATGGAGCTTTAAAAGAGGAAGACTGGTGTTACAAATATCGCTCCGCTTTCACTTACGCTCCGTATAATGATCTCGATAAAATGGGATACGAAGCTCCGAAACGTTATGCAAGTCAGGTTTGCTCTTATGGTTACTGATTTGTTCTTTCAGTATTGTACATTCTCTTCAAGGTGTAGTTGCAGCCTTTGAAGGTCACGTTAAGTTTGTGATATCCTTGATAATTATGAAAGTACAGTGTTCTGGTTTCCGGAAAGATTGAACATCAAATATTGTGCGTTATTAACAGGACAGTCTGAAGGAAAATTCTCAGGAATACTGAAATGTAATTAGATTCCAGTCAATTACTGTTGCTGTTTACAGGTTGGTTCCCGATACAGCCGATATTCGTACTCTTTTAGTGGGACAGAATTTATGGAAGAAGCACCATTAACTGTACATACCACTGCCGTGGAAAGTATTTTTGTTGTATTAGCATTTCTGCTATTCCTAATGACGCTTCCGTTCTCCCTTATTTTTTCTCTGAAGGTTGTTTCTACATATCCTTCATAGAATGCCTGTTTCAGTTATTTGCGATTTGTTTAAATCCCCAACTTCAAGATTTCCAATTGCTAACTGAAGCTAATTGACTCTTGTGGTTGTGGGTTTATAATCACTAGATCCAATGAATTGTTCAGTTTAAATAGTCGGATAAGTTTTGGTTTCTGAAGGAACCACTGAAAATGCCGAAATAATAGTAAATTTTACTTTTTAATTCAATGGATTTCAGTTTGTGGGTGATTTTGAACGCCTTGTTGTACTTCGGCTTGGTCGAGCACAAAAAACACGTGGACCAGGTGCAACTGTAGTGCTACCATGTATAGATACGTACACAAAAGTGGACCTTCGTGTGAATGCATTCAATATACCGCCTATGCAAATAATAACTTTTGACCGGGGACTAGTGGAGCTTGGAGCTACTGTTTTTTCACAAGTAAAAGTTGGTGATTTGCTTAGCTTGAGTCAGTTTTCCTTCAAGAGCAAAGAACTGACGAAAGATATCCATTATCAATCGCCAACAGTTTGGTAAGCGAGTGAATTATGCAGGACAGTTTCGTTACGTACAACTTTGAGTCTTTTTCTAAAGACATATGCGTTTCCATTACATCTAGTGCTTCACACTTTCCTGGGATCATTTGAAGTTTCCTGAACTTCCAGAGATCTCGTTCCTTAGTAATCCCTTGCTATCATCACCTGATACTCAGCTCAAAAAGCATGGCAGGAGAGAGAGGAAATTCTCGTTATTTGCTTTTAACGTTTAGGTAAAAGACGCATTGGCAGCAGTTTGTGCAGTACAAGAACGAAATCGATCGACCCGTGTTTTGTCTATTGCAACGCTACATCGTTTAGTTTGCAAGCAACGAGTTAGTGATGTAACATCAGTTGTGGGTCGTAGACAATTATGCGAAAACCTGCAGGTTTCTAAAGATTTAAAAATATTCTCAGTGAGCCACAGCATAACATGACAACTACAAGGAAACGAGTTTTAATGACTAGGGTAAACTTTTACAGGCAAAATCTTTAATCACTTTATGGCATCCTACGTATAATCGTTTCCCTTTGCATTCGTAATTAGACTGAAGAAAACAAAACTGTTTTGAATGAAAGTTATGAGACAAACTTTTAGTGGTGCATTTTGAAGTAACTCTAGCAATTCAATCAGTTGTTTTCGTCTGGCAGTTATAACGATTTTGTATAGGTTGAACTTGACGTGCTCACAACTGCGTGGGGTGTTGAAATCACCAAAGTAGAATTGTCAGAAGTGAAAGTGATTAAAGAAGGCGAGAACATGGCTCTAGCTACTTTCAATAAGGTAGGTTGGTCATGTTTTTGGCATTACCATCTTTCGTAGTACTTACAATCACAATTTTGCAACTCCGATTTGAACTCTCGGAATATTTGCAAGAGCGAAAATCAGGCCTTTATGATACGACTAGTTCGTACGATAAACTAAAACCCTGAATTTTGATGATCATGCTAATAGTTACAAGGTTCGTACAAACAAGTAACAAGTTTGCTTCACTTGGGAAGCAAGCTGTAGCTCGACTCTATATCGAACCATTGACTTTCAGGTGTTAAAGTCAGAACTAGGTTCTCGAATTATTGAAACGATAAAAGGCGCAGCACAAGAATTTGTCGTACAACAACAGCAAAAACGACAGTCAGTTCATCAACAGCAGATCGGAAACCATACAGAAAGGGATAGAGCTGATTTGTCTGGAGAATTACGCAAAAAGAACGAATTAAGATGCACTTTGAATAATTCCTTGAAATTTCTGGATATCGACCATTTGCTGTGTTCTCTGACAATGGTTATCGATAACCAGTTGGTGGCCTCTGTGGGATATATCTTCCAAGTGAACTGTACTGAATTTGGTAACTTTTATGTGGATTTAAAAAACGGCTCTGGGAACTGTTGCAAAGGTATCAGTCCGACAGCTGATGTTACTTTGTGTTTGAATCGTGAACTACTATTTAAAATTTTAAAGAAAGAAGTAACTCCGATGCAGGCTTATTTGGATGGTTCCTTACGAATACTGGGTTCAGTAAAAGCAGCCGTTAGGCTAACCTTGCTATCGGATCGTTTTAGCTGTTTGTTGTAATCACCATGAAAAGTTGACTATTCGGCCCTTTGAATAATACTCTGGCCTAGAGAAGAGAATAATGATGATTTTTGTTGTGATTTTTCATGTGAAATATTACTATTATAAGTCTCTCAAAATTTGAAATTTTGCTTACAGCTCAACCCTCATATCATTTAACGTCTTGAATGAATAGACCCCTCTTTCTGTACGTCGAGCAGTCGATTGTTTATTTTGAAAAATTTCCAATTGATGTATGAAGTGATATTGGGAGATTAAGCTGAATCCTGCTTCAGATCCTTCCTAAATAAAGTATCTCATCATCTGCTCTGCATAAAGAGAATGTCATTGCTGTTTCTCTTGATCTGTGAGTAACTAAGCGTAATACTTCACTACTTGAAGTGGATCAAGTCCAACTGAATTTAGTACATTACAATGAATATTTAATGAAACGCAATCATCAAAACTGAGCGACCTTTTCGTGCTACACTGCCAAGTAATTGGAATGTGATCACGCTTTGAGTGCAACTATCTTATTCTCTTTTACTCCAAAGTCACCTCCACAATTCCTTTCCTTAAATATTTAAAAAAGGTTGACAGACTAAAAAACTGACTAAACGCACTCAAATTCTAAATGCATAGATTTTAGGCGATGTGTGCATATCCTTAAAGCATATATATAGTGAATCCCAGGAACGTTCTCTTCTTTTACACAAACCTAAATTTTAAATTACTTACATCCGTGCTTTCTTGTCCACTCATTTCATTTTATTTCTTGATGTTAAAGTTGATTTCTTAGACTCATCAAATCTGGATACTTAATCGTTTACTGGCCATACTTAATCGTTTACTGGCCCACGATTGCAGAGTTTTGGTAGGTTTACCATTCCTAAGATTGCTGGCAACGACTCTTTGTTTTATCTGTGGCTGATCTGCGTCAACTTCCCTGAAATTCACTGTTAGCCTAACTGCTTAACGTTTGCACGATTTTGCCTTCAAAATTCTTCGTGAAAAGTTTGTTAAGTCTCATTGTCCGAAACAGTCATGTCCACTTATCTTGGAAATTCAAATGTCACTCAACGACAAAATTTAACGACACGCTCTAAGTACTGTGTTTTTCAACATGTCAGTGAAATCGCACTACACACACAAGCACTAATCCCTAGCCTGGAATGCCAAACAATAGAGTCATGATAGTAATGAGCCGGATGATTTCATAGAGAGCCATTTGTATCACTAGTGACGTGGGATTTGATCAAATTTTCGGATAATGTGGCATTGCATTTGGGGAAGTTGCGTTGGTAGGTCGGGAGACGGGGTGAGTTTGCAGTTTGCTGTTGTTGCGTGATTGAATGGTAGTGGCTGGTTGCGTGTTACCGTTTTGCTGTCGGGCAGGGAGATTTCATGTATTTGGACTTTCTGTCCGTAAATGAGTTATGGAAACTTTTTAATGGCTGTCGAATACAGAACATTCATTCAGGGCTTATGGAATAGTATAATCGCATTGTTTGCAGAAGATATAATGTGATGTGCAATATCTTAGAATTGAATAATCATTGACAATAAAATTGTGGTGTGCAATATCTTAGAATTGAATAATCATTGACAATTTTGCTTCTGCACTTCCCAACGAGTGCTTGCTAACAGTGTAGAGTATAATAGTTAGTCACCTCGTATTGTCCTCGCCATTTAAGGGTACTGGAGGAGATTTGTAAGCTGAAAGGAGCAAATCCACTAGAAATATCTTCTTCTCGTGCTCCTATCGAGGGACTTCGTGGAAGTTAGTCGTTACATATGAATATTTAATTAGTCTGTTACTTACTGGTAATAGTGATATTTTAATAGTGACCGTTCTGTTATCTATCCAAATCTCTTTTCCGTCACAAGTGTAAGATTTTCCTGAGTCGTGAAATGTGCAGTGTGGCTTTGAAACTCAAACTACGTTGTTCTTCTCCAAGCGGTATCGATTCCATTGATAAGTTTCATGCGTTTTTGAATTACAAAATCATTTGATGTATGATTTATACTCTATGTTGTACTGTCGTTGTACGAGATTTCCATTTAGGAACAAAATGATTTTATCCTTGAGAAATTGGCAAAAGGTTTTGAAACTTGAGTCACTATACAATTTGTAACACGAAGTCTTTAACCAAAGGACTTTTCCATCTGATTTGTGTAGAGGTGGCCATATTGATTGCTTTATTAAACAGAGCTCCCAGCTCTCCATTGTTTCTCAAAATGATCAAAGAATTTTGTTGCAGATAATATTTAACAGGGGAAAAAAAAATAGTCTACAATGGGGCTGACAATATCTGGCCTCTTTGGACGCCTCTTTGGAAAGAAACAGGTGCGAATTTTGATGGTTGGTCTGGATGCTGCTGGGAAAACGACCATTCTGTATAAATTGAAGTTGGGAGAAATTGTTACCACTATTCCAACTATTGGTTTGTTTCTATTTCTTTAATGTAGCGCAGTGAATATCTTGAAGGAACCATACATGGTATTTTAGCCATATTTGGATGTGAACTACGAATGTTACATGACGAACCTAGACGGACTGAACCGTTTATCTTGTTTTTAACGGCATATGTTACAAGAAATGAGACATAAAATAGAGCAAACTGATTCCAGGGTTTAATGTGGAAACAGTGGAGTATAAGAATATTTCTTTCACAGTTTGGGATGTTGGTGGTCAAGATAAGATCCGTCCACTTTGGAGACATTATTTTCAAAATACGCAGGTAAGATTACTCGACAGCAGTTTTTCTTTTTTGGGTGGATCTGTCTTTTATATTTAGTATTTGTTCAAAGCTATTTTGTTACTGCTGGAGATTTGTATACTTTTTAACTGACTTTGAAAATCCGAAGCTTCAATTGAGAGGAAAAATGGGCAGTCGGGACTGGAGCAGTTTTAGAAAATGTTTGATTTCTAATCGGGCTTACTAAAAAGGACTTGGCTTACTGTGTTTATGACTAGAGTTTCCGTTAACATGGCACCAGTGAACTTGGGATTTTAAAAAGTCGAGAAAACTGACTATTCTGAGAAATACAAGGATATGTTGCTGTAAGATGTGGCCATAAGTGTTGGAAATGAGTGATTGAATGAATAAAAGAGAAAAATCACGAAGTTGCGCATATTGATGTGCACTTATAAAGTAATTTACAAGTACACATTTATATGCATAATTTTATGACTCCTTCAAATTAAATTTAAAATTTGGCTAGTAGGAGAACTTTTCTCAGTAATTATTTTTTTATAAATAAATAACTCAAAAACTCCTCAGAAATAGTGGTTGCCTATCTTGTTTCTCATCTTCTGCGTTTTGTTTCTCAAAAATCAATATCTCTATCACCAAGCCAAGTTAACCTGGATTCTGATTGCACAGGCATATGATAATACTGCAACTCGATGACGAACATTTCATTTAATTTACGATCTGGTCGTAGATATCTTTCAGAATGAGAGTTCATCGCTGGTCTAAAAACTTCAAAAATATTGCTGGAAATTTCTGTAGTTGAAATGTGTTCCGAGTTCAACCAAACAAAGAGTGTAACTTGAATGTTAATTGCTTCACTAGGATTTGTCTTTTATTTGGGTTATGGTATTCCTGTTGTATTACTGCGTATCACAGGGCTTGATCTTTGTTGTCGATAGCAATGACAGGGAACGTATCGAAGAAAGTCGAACAGAACTGCACAAGATGCTTTCCGAGGTTTTTACATGCTACTTTTCTTAGAGAATAGGAAAGGTGCATTTTGTTGTAGGGAGTAGCACTAATTCGCTACTTGTTTTTATCAAAGATTATCAAACCATTAGAGAGGTGCACTCTTTGACTGTCACGACTAATTGTGTTAATGAATAACGTTTCGACCCATCTGAGACATTTCTTTATTTTGCTGTGAAGATTTCGTAACATTCCGTTCTAACTTGCTATTTTCTTCGGGCTTGTGGTAGTTGTTCATTTTTACTTGGTTTTTTTTTTTTTTTTTTAGGACGAACTTCGAGATGCCACTTTGCTTGTTTTTGCGAATAAACAAGATCTGCCAAATGCAATGAGCGCTGCCGAATTGACTGATAAGCTTGGTCTTCATAATTTGCGATCACGGCAGGTTAGGTTTACCATGGCTATTAAAAGTCCCCCAAAGGACTATCCAACTTTGCTTTTTGCAATTACAGAACACTTTTTAAAGTGCCGTAAGTGTGTAGCATAAACCAGTGCGATAATTCTCCGTCAGTTTTAAAAATCACCGTGACCTGTTTCAAAAGCGGTCTTTATAAGTTATAATACATAATTTTCGGTACGAGGATTAAAAACATTTGTTTGTCATAATGATAGTAAAGTATCTCCTGAATATTTTGTAGTAATGCATCATTTATGATTATTTATGACATTTTTGAGCAGCTGCAACGATGTATCATTTATGAACTGCATAACATTTTTTCGATTGCAGTGGTATATCCAGGCAACTTGTGCAACACAAGGACATGGTTTATATGAAGGTTTGGATTGGCTTTCGAACCAACTTTCCAAAAGCTAAATCCGTTGCCTTCTCTCAACACATATAGTGCTCTTTTTCATATCACTAACGCGTTATTTTCAATTATTTATTATTATGATTATTTTCATCACTCCAATCATTATCGGGATAATTTGTATTCATGAATGATGGAATGATTGGCGATTGTGATGTTTCCCTATTGTTTTTCCTAACGGAAATCGTATTTTCATCTTTCTTTATCGTTTTTGTCCCTTCTCGTTTGTTAAGTCCAAGTTGGCATGCACAAAATGTACTTCATTGACAAAAGTGTTCCTAACATTTTTGAATGTTTTCTTGTGTCCCCTCGCACTTTGTTAACTTACCATTCTTTCGTAGAAGATGAGAAACACTTCGGTCTTCAGGAATCTTATGAAGAATTCTTCATCTCCCAGTAGTGAGCGCTATAGCAACATTACGGTCTTTATTATAAATTTCAAAAATCCGAACTGTTGCTGGCAATATTTTTCTCATGCTGTTGATTTTTGTTGGTGGTGCTTTCCTATAGCTATTTCGATTTGAATAAATTACTGACTTCACTTCCCCCTGAAATCGAGTTTTCGCGAACACTTTTCGTTGATCGTGAATAAATTTGTTATTGGATGCTCTACGGGGCATCAACGCATTTCAGACCAGCTGCAGATTTGGAATTTTCCAATATTTACCACTCTGAAACACGAAGGCTCCAAATAATCTGCGGTTATTTTCATGCTAGGTCTGTGGTGTTTTTGATTCAATCATTGCCAAATGTAACAGTCCTTTCTAACCTTTCGAAATATCTGTGGAGGGGATTATGGTTTATTTAATGCTAATCAAAATCCGACATAATATTAAAAAGCTGCCTAAATATAGGTGGTACTTTGCCGGTTAGAAGTAATAGGCTTCACGGTGAACGATGTATCTCTCAATGCTGATTCCTTGTGCACCATGTATATTAGTTTTTTTTTTTTGCTTCTGAACAGTATTTCCAGAATGTGAACAGACGCGAAACAACTCTGGTGGTTTCTTATGAGATGAGTAAGTTTTCCATAGCAGTTGGAGTCAGTAATTCTGACCCCTTGAACCAATATTTGTAAACGAAATGAACTTGACTCAGAGTTTCACTATTTCTTCTTGTTTTTTAAATACCTATGCGAAGTATGATTTATCTTCGAGAACGTAAATGCCATTTGTTGCCAAAAGAGAAAAAGCTTCAGAATAAAACTTTCTTGCGAAAATCATGTTTTCAAGTTCAGTTTAAAATTGAAGATGTTGATGTGTTTATGTGTTCGATTAAGCAGCAACGTTGTACTGTTTGTAAAGATAAAATTTGTAATAAAGATAATTATGTGTGAGAATTCACCGGTGGAATCAGCGAGTGCATCTGATGCAACATTAATTTTTTCGAGTTGAACGTGCACACGGATGGGGCGTGACGCGTCACTTCTGGTGTTTATTCGGTACAAAAATCAAAAACATACAAATTGGCTGTACTTTATGACTGTTAAACAAATATCTTCATGTAGTTAACCTTCAGCATTCTAACTAATAAAGTTTCATATTATGCTGTTTTATACTTTTAAACCACGACCATATACTATAATTGGAAAATGTGAGCTATCGACTTTCTCGAACTGAAATTACTCTCTAATTGTTCTACGCGCTCTTATTTGCATACAAAAAAGAGACAGTTCTTTTAAATGGAACCTATATAATAATGTTTTAAGTTGTAAAGTTATGTTTAGCATCTCAGTTTATATCTTCCATCAAATGGCAGTCTATCAGTTGATCACTGTACAATAACAGTAAGTTGAGGGAGCGACTCACAAATTACTATAGATTTAAGAGAAGAGTAACCAATGTTATAACAAATTAATTTACTTTTATCACTGGAAAAAGACGATTCCTTCACATTTTTTTTCATTAAAAGTGGTCAAAATATTGAGAGTAATATGATAAAAAGTATTATACAGTAATCATATTACGAGTTACCAAGGGGTGAAGTAAGTCCATTATTCCCACGAATTATTTCCTTTTTGCTTAAATAATAGAAGAGTACAAACCGAAGAACAAGAATTGCAAATACCTACTATAATCAAATAAAGGGTAATATCGGGATGAGTTCCTTTCATGCTGTAGGTACTCTTGACATACTAAGAGGCTGCACTGCGAAAATTGGCATTCCTGAAAATTTTTTAATTTGTTTCTTTTTGGTGGCTCAACTGCTTGGTTCCAAATATTTCAATCTCCAATACATAATGCCTGCGTTGCTTAGAGAAAGATCTTGAATATAACAAGCTTCTCCATAAGAAAACGAGTGATTGAGAAAAATTATTCGCTTATGTCCTAGTATCTGTAATATAGTGGCATTTTATTTTAATTTCAAACTTGTTTAGCTCAGAAGTATATGTATCAAAAATAAAACATTCTAGATGATGAGGGTTCTACGTAACAGTCATATCACTAAGCAAAATCTTATCATTACCTAGGGCTCTCATCGGTATTAAGTAGATACTTCGAACACAAAAGATAGACTTAGGATAATATATCAACTTCAATTTTTTTTACTCATCGAAAAAATAAAAAATCACCCTGGACATGATGATCACAAATAGATCTCTCTGAAACTACAGAACTTCATGGCAGAAACATCTCTCCATCATACGAAGAAAAAGGAAACAGGCATGCTTCAGCAGACCATTCTTTACTAGTAAGCTGTCGCACCTGGGACGAGTACGTATATTTTCTCGCCTTCCTCACAAACCCTTCAAATATTTCCTTCGTTTTCTTTAGGAAAATCTTTGCCCACGAAATTTCGGTCTTAAATAAATACGAAAATGCTTTGTCAAGTTTTTCAAAGCACCGCAAAACAGTCCTGACAAATTTTGTTTAGCATCAAGTTTTGGAAAAAACTTCAACTACACAAAGCACTGAAGACTTTTGTATTTCTTCCTTTCCTTGCCTTTTCCCATATTTCATCACTGCATCTCCCTTCTTCCACACTTTTCAGGATATTCTAGTACTTCGCATTCTTTCTCTACTTTTTGCTGCAACAAAGTTTCTGTGAAACTAGCTTTGAAAAACCACTCGAAAAACTCGTCGGAAAGCATTCATATTTCAAATCATATTTAAATTTATCCCATTTAAATTTCCGGTATTTTCTCAAACAAAGCCTACTTTATGACAATGCGAAATTCTTTTATCAGCTGGTAAACTTTATGTTCTATAATATGATTTCGCTGCCATGTTTTGATTGCACAGTCCACTCAAAAATAGCAAAGCGATATAAAGGCGTTAAGCATTGTTTTTTTCTTCATATTCTTATCTTTGTATTTTTAGCAAATTTATCTTTTTTAGCAAAATTTTACCATTCTGTGTTTTGCACTTGTTCAATTGACAAATTCGGATTTAATTTATGTTTAGCAATTCACATAAACAAATACTTTGGAAGAAAAAGGTGCTATAGTTGTCTCATAGTTTACTAAACAAGGAAACTAAAAACTTTCAAGAAGTGCTTACTTCTTCAGCTAATGAAATGGGACAATGTTTGCTCGGCGACTATAAGAGAAAGTTAGCCTGGGCTTATTAATAATGCCCAACATCATTTACACAAATATTTTTATTATGTGTCCTTGAACCTCCGTATCAACAAGGAATGTTTGTCCAAACATTATCGATCCACCTATCTAATTTATTTAATCTAGTTTAATCTAATCTAATCTAATCTAATCTAATCTAATCTAATCTAATCTGATCTAATCTAATCCAACCTAATCTAATCTAATCTATCTATCTAGTCTATCCATCCAGCCTATCTATCAGTCTATCCATCCAGTCTATCTATCAAATCTATCTATCCAGTCTCTTTATTCAGCCTATCTATCTATCTAATCTATCGATCGATCGATCGATCTATCTATCTATCTATCATCTACCTAATCTATCTAGTCTATCTATGATTTCTATGCACAAATTCAATTCGATTCTTTATTCTATTCTCACCTTGCATCAGTAACTTACATAAAAACTACTGATAATGACAGCTGGGCTTTGTTACGCCTCTAAAGCTTTATGAAGAAACAACCATTATTTAAACCCTTCCTCAGTCAAACCCATCCCGACAGAGGTTGTCGTCAACACACAATCCCAGACATAAAGAGACAACCAAACAAGTTGAAGGCAACGAATTTTTAGTTTTAGTTATTTGTTGAAAAGTGAGACTCCACCCTTCCAAAATTACGCTTTAAGAGGTGGAGGATAAAGCTGTATAGCAAGTAAACCAATTCATCCCACCCCATCTGCATTAAAATTTAATCATGGCACAAACAATGGTTGCTCCAACTGCCTACACTTCAATGCTTCCTTCGTTCATGCACCACCACTATCAGCAAAAACGGCTGAACAGCTCCGGCTCAAATTCGAAACATATTCCGCTAAGTGATAACACCATTGCAATATTCGTGCTGCTTCAGATAGTGAGTACCTGCTCCGCTCTTACCTGCATGACGTGTGCAACCAGCAGTAGCACTCATCAAAATGCTATTCAACTTGATAAATTCCGCATCATCGCACAACTACCATATCCAGGGTGTCCCATGGAACCAATACGATGTGACCGGGATCAAGATGTCTGCGTAACGATAACGATGAACATTAGAGGTGATGGCCTTTACTGGATTGGTGCTGGATGTGATCGACAAGAGTATTTCCAACACATTGCATGTGAAAATGTTCGAACTTTGACACGTAACGTTCAACTAGGCATGGCACAGGAATTACGTGTATTGCAACGCGTGTGTGTGTGCACTTTCGACAAATGTAATACAGCGATAAGGACATACTTACTACGAATTGATAAACCATTACACATTAAGATTCTAATATGTTTACTTGCCATTTTTTATATTCACAACAATATTACTTGAACAGCATCAACTTTACTTCCGGCCTTCGACTATTACGATAACGAATTTCTGGCACTATTCCTTATAAAGAGTGTCCTCGACTGACTTTTCTATTCGAACACAAACATTTCGAGTCTTTCTTGAGCTAGCGCAAATCAATTACCTTAGTTTATACCCTCCAAAAAAAAAGTACAAAACGGCGAGAAGTAATCAGTTGAAGCAACAATTAAGAACGTATATTTCTCCAAAAATTCTGTACAACGAATATAACATGTAATATAATTTGCAATAAATGAAAGATTCGTGTTGGATCATTAGTGATCGACTTCGACATGTAGTTGCACAAACTTCAGCGACCAGAGTGTCCAAAAATTCTTGACTTTCGGTTCGTGATTTCTTTCATTCCTATTAGTATAGATGTCTGGCTAGTCAGTACCAGCGATTTGGTGGGCATCACCCGGTCCAATGAAGATTATATTTCAGCATTAGAAACACAAATGAGATGTATCTTATTCTGATAAAGATTCATCATCATCCATCATCATGCGCTCATTTATACTCAGTGTTATGTGCTTATGAACAGTCAATTCCATACGTTCTTTCTCCCGCTGTGCATTCCACGTTTCCGTCAAAAAACTCGGTGCATCCATTGCTATCGCCTTCAACACCTGAACAGTTACACTTCCTTACATTTCAACTCAACGTTAGATGACTGGCAAACAAGAAAGAGGGGCAAATGATCAAAACTCTAACGGCACAGAGAAAAAATCCAAGTTACCGTTTTATTCCCTTTCCCACGTGTTAAAATCGCCATTCTTGTTTCCGTTCCTGAGTTTGATGTGTCATCCGATTTCGTACTACGAGCGTTTGCATCTGGAATGCCACAGACATTAACTCAATGCTATTATTCGAGGATCTAACTAAAAGGACGTATTAAAATGCTACAGCGTAGATATGCAGTAGCGTAGTTAAAGATTCGAATATAGACATCTCGAAATGTTACTTCGAATTAAATACTATGGAAGCTACCAAAATACTTATAATCAATAAAAAAAACACACCAAATGCAATGCTTCTATGAAATTTTTGACGTGCAGATGTCGGCACCACTATTTCCGAAACTGGTACACTTACGACATTTGCCCTGCTCTGTAAAACTTATCCAGTTTGGCTTTGACAAAGAAATGCTACGACAAATTTCGAAGTATAATGAAGTATTTGTGTTCACAGTTCCAAACTTCATTAACATTTTCAGCCCAAATTGGTTAGTGAAACACTTTACAAATGGATAACATCGAACAAAAGCTTTCATGGATGTTGATTAAAAGAAAAAATGTTAATTTTATAAGTGAGTTGATGAGCATATCGTTCGCCCAATGATATAATGACGCTTTAGTGAAGTAAGTTCAATGAAATGTAATATTTGTACCTATCACCAAGGTGGAACCAATTTGTTCCTCTATTTACAAAATATACTTATAACAGGAACCAAAAGAAGAAAAATGGACATCGTGCAAGGCAAATGTGCGAAATTATTTTGAGGTGAAATTATAAAAATATTCTGACTGAATATTTTTACAATTTCAATGTTTCAAAGTTACCACTTCATTCCATATCTTTTTAAGTTTTTTCTGTCTTGGCGAGAGGTACAAAGTAACTCAAAAGCATGAATTTAAAACCAATTATTTTTCCATTTCCCATATACCACTACTAAGAACTACTGGTATTTAATGTATCACTTCTCACAATAACAAACTGCAGCCTGCTAAGGCCACACTATTTCAAATAAGCCTAACATTGTCACTTGTCTAATCATTTCACTGAGTGCAATCACCACTCAGGTGATTAAGCAGAAATCCATTTATTATGGAGAAAAAAAATTTTGCAATAAATTTATTACGAATTAAGCAGTAATCCATTTATTTCGAAATTACATGTATCCATGTAGTCGCTTCGAAATGTAAGAAAAATAACTCTACAAGGGATGAAGTGTAAGGAATGAAAAAAAACGCAGTGATAGATATTAAGAAGGCAAAAAATGATATAGATTGCCTGCATCGTTTCTGCAATGATTTGCTCAAGTTGACGCACGAACAGTTCGTCTTCAGGTAGGAGAACACGATTTGTATGCACGCGAACGCTTTCATTTTCATCATAAATTGATACAACAATCTCGTCACTGCAAAAGCATAAATTATGAAAATCTTTTTTGGGCTGAAAAATAATTTTTAGCACTGATTAACTTCATAAGGAAAACTTCAGTTTGGCATACTTTTCAACCAAGAGAAGGAATACATCAAGTCTGGTTCACCGCATGTATCACTAAATACAGGTTCAATATTAATGATTCTTGCTTCAAATGATTCCATCATAATCTTTCAAATTATTATAAATTTGATTCAAATTACTAAAAACATTTCGCCTTGCAGAAAGTGAGGAATCAAAACTTATTGCCTTTGTATATAATAAGATATAAAAATTATGTCCGACCATAAGATCAGTAACTTGTTTGCAGTACCAGCAGATGCCTTGCCCACTCCCAGTTAAAGTTTTTGTTTTTCTTAATTATATATGGACATTAAATCATTAGAATTTATAGAGGTAATTGTAATCAAATCATCATGGTGCAATGTTGGGGGAATCACATGTTTTATTTGTCATAACGTCATTAGATTGATAGCGTATCAGTCACATTTGTGGGCTATCTTACGACCGTACTGATCACCCAAGTATTACATAATCCTTCTAAATCAATTCGAAATTTCCAGTTCTCCGTACTCACAATTTAGCGAAAAATCCTTACACATCCTTACAGCAAACAAAAAAAAANAAAAAAAAAAAAAAAGAAAACGAAAGAAAACAAGAAAAAAATCAAATAACGAAAAAAAATACAAAAAAAATAAAACAATAAAAAAATACACAAATCGATCCTTACACAATCATTAAGAGAACAAATATTTAATTACGTTATCAATTTTTGGCATACTTTTACAGTAGCATTCCTGGCATCATCCCACTCTTTTCTCTATCACCTAACAAGTTCGATGTGCTTTCAGTACTTACTATCCCAAATCCTCTTTCTTGCCATAGATATGGTTATCAAGAAGATTATGGTTTTTATAAATTTGTTGGAAATTTAGTTTGAGAAACACATCTAGCGACTTGGTAGCAAGATATTGATATAGATAACTTGGAGCCGATGTGCTGGCTAGATTTTGATTCTCAGATGCTACAAATCATTATATTCGATGCATAAAGTTGACGATGCATTGATGATGACATTAACGACGCAGAAACTTTAATAACCAAGTTCAAAGGGTCTTACATATGATCATTAAAAAATCTTTTTAGTAAAGTCGGGCAAAAAACTCCTTGACTTAGCAGCAATTACTTCAAATTCTTAATTCCTGCAACTCAACACCTTATCAGAGATGCACCGACTGCTCACTTCATTTTTTGCTTGTATTCACCGTTGTAAAATATTGACTTAAGTCTATTCAAAATACGAGAAAATAGTTACTAAGTTCCGAAGTATATCCCGGTAAGCTTTCAGCAAGCTAAAATAACATTAATGCATGTAAGGCAACAAATGCAAGTGGTACAATTCGCCATAACTTGACTATATTGGAATATTTTAATTTTTCTTACGGCATAAAAGTGCTGTTTCACAAGGATGTCATGTAAAAGTACGACTTCTGTTCTCCCAACTAACCGTAAATGATGAAAAGTCAACTACGAGTCTGAACTGAAGAAATTCATTATCAAACTCATACAATTATTGTGAGATAATGGTATAAAAGTAATCGCCACAACATTACACCATGGCAAGTCTGAGAAATTTCATGTAGTTTGATTTCTTGCTAAAACAATGCTCGTAGATCGTTTACATATCAAATACTGCACGACTGAAACAGTACTTTTAGTGAAATCTTTGCCACAAACCTGCTGCTGATATTTTCGTCTCCGCCAGCTTCAGCGGCACAATTTATCTTGCGTGGTTCTTCTTCCTCTTCATCCATTATCTCTTCTTCTATTTGCTGAGCTATTTTCCCTTCACGCGCTGCATCTACCTAAATAGAGAATGAGTTTAGAAAATCCTCGAATATGTTAAGTTTCACTAACTGGATCTATCTTTATATTTATATTTTCAGTATTTGCATTTCCTTCTTCGTTTTCAGGCCTTCCCATTTTTCACAAAACTTATAATTTCAGCCTATGTGTCGAAGATTGTGAAATGGGTAAAATAAGTCCAGATGCAATTTGGCACCATAATACTCGGAAAGTCATAAAGGGTAAAAGCACTACAAGTCAGGCAGAAATTCTTTTCCATGAAATATTAGCCATTTTGGTAACAGCAGTAAGACTACTATTTTACACAAGAAAATTATGTTCGCCAATCAACTAATCAAATCTCATATTTGAAAAGATTTGCAGATCATGTGCTTGAGTTTGTGAACAGAGCTTACAGCGCATCTATTTCTGCCATTATGCATTCCTCGAAAGAATAACTTGAAAGAAGTGAGCAGACATTGGGCTACTCTTAAAAACAACTGTAGAGATAAGATTGGCTTGATGATTAATCGGGATCATGAATTATTAAGAAGAACTATATTATCATCATTAGTACACAGTAGAATAGGATCATCAATCATTTTCTTATTAACAGTAATGGCTAAAAAATAAATTCCGCTTCAAGAATACGGTTGTTTTCGTTCTACAGATGCATGTCCGAGCTGAATTAGTTCTTCAACGTGCTAGATAATCTCATAATCTTTCATTTTCGAGACATTATCATACTTCCAATACCAATTTTTGCCATATTTTAGTTTTCCTCCTATCGATACTTATAATGAATAATCCTCCTTAGCACATGTATATGCTAAGGAGGATTATTCATTATAAGTATCGATAGGAGAAAATTCTCTTCGAGAATGACCGCTTTTTATTTCTGATTCTATTTTATGACAGCAACCAACGTAAATGTGCATTAATAAACCATGCACTGAAAATTTATAAACATCCAAAATTTCTCGACTTTCGCACTATTATTCTGGGCAGTTATCAGGTCTAGAAAAATAGAAACTCCACACAAAAATTCCCACTGATATCCACAGCAGGCATTCCTTAAAAATTTTAATTCTGAACTAAACACAATTTAGAGATCATGGCAAGTTCAGATCCCTCAAAAATCTGCATGAGTGGACTGAAAGCAGTTAAACGTTAAGAAAAATGTCTGCAGATAGTTTGATCTCAATCATCCAGTGATGAAATCTACAGAGTATTTCTTTAAATAAATAGTAATAATACCATTTTTCCGTATTGTTGCTGGATTCCATCAACAACTTCTTGCGCTTCGTCGAAAGATTCTGGGATTTTGACGCCTTTTCGCACATAATCACTCATCTCCTCCACTCGAAAACGCACCTTAAATGTTGGAATGACCGATTTATTCATGGATTCTAACGAAGTTTGTAGGAGTAAATAGCAACAACATACATGCTTGGGGAAAACAATATCGCGAGCTTTAAATGCTTCTTCTTTAGCCAATAAATAACGGTAAAAATATGCTAAGAAACAATCCAATTTTTTCTTAGCTGAACCAGCATTAAAATATTCGCCACAAACTAGAAGTAATTCGCACACAAGACCAATTCGTGCCAGATTGCTCCAGTCATCCAGTAATGGATCAAAAGCACCAAAAGTGATCAATTGATACAAAGTCTAAATGATAAATTTTAAGTCCGTATCAACTGTGAAACGTCTCACTCACTGACTGTTTTACCAAGAATATTGAACAGTCATTTACTAACGTGCAATTTTATTTCTTCAGTTTGTATAGAAAATTCTCGACAAATATATTCCTTGCAGTGCTTACATACAATTGCCAGCAAATAACATCCCATAAAGCGACAAGTGTCTGCGAATCAATTTGGTTTACCTGATTATATCATATTAATGCAGAAATGCAGAAATGAAGTGTGAGCTTTTTTTTGGTATATTTCCTGTCTTATCGCATTATATTGGTTGGGAATAATAAGATCACTTTTCACTAATACCTTAAATATAACGGGAGAGTCGCATACGCTATAATTATACAGTTGACCCAAAAATATTACTGACAGCACTGTGCTTTGATTAAGAGATGGACTGTTAAATTCTAAAGCGATGCGAATATCCTCAAGCGTTGCGTCAAGTACTCGAATACCTTAAAACTTTTATTTAAATTAACACCTGATCTAGCACACAAGTCAAAACTCAGAGTATCGATGGATACGATTATGACCAGGAAACGAAATATTCGGTTCGACGAAGTATGATTCAAACTCGTTGCGAAACATCCCCTTATTAAATGAAACTTACCAATCCAATCATGACATGATGAAAGCGATGCTACAAGTGACGCAAGATACGGCACATTATTGTACCGCGGTAGAGATGGATTACTGAGGCACTCAACTGCATAATCTAAACAGATCGAATATTATGAAGCAACACAAGTAATCTGTCTCAGTAAAGTTTCTATCACTTATCATCAACCTTACCTTTTAATAATCGATTGTTCCGAGCCGATCCCGCTTTAAATGGCATTGGTTTATTAGCTTCCAATTCCTACTTCCTCCTAGCATTTGAAAACCTCGACGTTAAAAATAATCCTCCCTGATCCCTTAAGGCGACAACATTATAAAACATGCTTTCTAAAACCAAAATAAACTAACTAGCACAAACAGGATCAGACCAGTCCAATTTCCTGAGGCATCGTACAGTTATTTCCATTCGATAACGTGATAAATTACTTATCAAATAACGAATAAAGTCTTGAAATGGGTCGCTTGCAGGCTTCGGTTTTTCTTGCACTGGTGGTGGGATACAAGTGTAGAACGCATTATCTATCAGCATCTAAAAATACAAAAATGTAAAAGTCAAGTCCAAAATTAATGACTTATTTGTATGTTGAACAACTAATGAAATCATTCCTTTTGAAGAGAAGTACTTGAGGCACATTACAATAACGAAAAAGATGAACCAATAAAATCATTAATCATAAAAGGGTGGTCAAAATTCTCTCAAAACATTACTTATACCTGTTGGCGCGGATCACTAACACGATCACGTTTTTTCATCATAACTCCAAGCAAGATTTTCATTTTTCCATGACTGTCCGTTGAACGATATAAAAACTGTCCCATTGCATCAACCATTGCACAGCACATGTCGATGTTATGACCACGAAAATCAAAAAGTACCATTCGCAAACAAGAAAGACCTTCGCCTTTCGGTATGATTTCAAACTTCACCTAAATGAAACCATTTGTGGTGGAAAACTGAAAGTTTCTAGAAAGGTAAATTTTCTTAGGAAGATTGCCACTAGCATTATCTATTAGACGGAATATCATCCCTTCAGTGAGAATGGCACCTCAAAGCACAAATCCATTGAATCGCAAAATACCAAGGTCAGTTACGTAGTGAATCGAAGTGCATGAAATATGTCATTAAACACAAACCAGTTCAGAGATGAACCGAGCACACCTTATTTTCCAGTCCACACGCTGTTTTTTCTTACTCTGAACAGCTGCGCGAAACTGCTGAAGCAATGAATGCGAAAGTTCAAGAGCCAAATCAGGCATAACTGGTTCCAAAGTTGCCACCAAACGGCCATAGAATGGAAGCAAATCTAACCGATTTCGATGCTGTTCCAGCATCACTAAACAATAATTGAACTGGTAGAAAAAGTAGGGAGGATAAGTCCATGTAGACTTCAAATGAATTACTTCAAAAACATTTCAGTTAGTATGAACGAGACCCTTACGTGACATTGTTTATGTCAGGATCGTGATCATACGTTCCCAAGAAAAACAAAAACAAGAAATCATTCAGAAACTTAAAATGTTTACTTTGACAGAGTTTTTTTCTGTTGTTCCTGGTATTAAGATTTGTAACAAAGTCAAGTGCAGCCTTGTCGATCAAATCCCTGTTGATTAGCCATGGAAGCTGTTCCATAAATGCAATCATCCTGAGCTTCAAATCTTGTCCAGATATTTTTGGTGCATCAATACGACTCATTGCAACTGATGGAAGATCCATTTCATTCAAATCTATTTTTGTCTCTTCATCATCAATACCTAAAAGACAGATTTACAATAAGTGTTCACTATAATAAGTAATGACACGAAACAACATGAATAAATGAATATGTACAAATGATGAAAGAAATGTAAACTAATTCACTGCAACAAAGACGAAAGTTACAATCCCAAATCATGGTGTTCTGATAACTATTTCTGTCAAATTAGTCATCTGGTCAATCCTTAAATCCATGAATTCATAAGAGTGATAACCATTATTCTCTTGTCGACTAGTACTATTTCTTTAAGTAGACCATGAAGATTAAAATAACCAATGTTACCCTCTTCCAAGAAATCTGTTTGATTTCATAATTAGTTACGATTACAGCATAATAATCAGTTTAAGAAAATTCAATATTTCGAGTATTAAGGACAAAAATTTCGGATACTTTTACCTGCAGTAAAAGTTTTCACACCACAACCTGGGTAAAAGAATTAGTAAGAGTGTACAGAGTAGGGTAAGACATTAAGTGAACCACTACTTCATTTATGGTTATGGAATTATTGAACCAGTATGACAAAGAATTCCACAAAGGATTTCAAAGAAACGTCAGAATTTGACAATATTTTTTGCATTATTTCTAAAATTTCACCCTTCTCACAAGTGTTATGTAGTTTTTGCTCTGGGTTTAACATATTCAATAAAAAAAAGCAGGAAATTCTTATTATAAGATGTGACAAATGGAACCTAAAATCGATTTTTTCTTTGCAAATTAATCGCATTACAAGATGGAACAAGGAAACATACCACTATCCCTTACTTAAATTCAGAGTCCAACATATTTTTGGTCATTATAACTTCCATATCAACAAGCAAAAAATTTTAAAACAAACCCTCACTGTGTTCATCACCCTCATCTTCAGCTTCTTCAGCAATTGCATCCAAACCGCTTAGATCAACATCTTCAATCTTTCCTTCAACTAGATCTAATGTTCGTTGTTCCGATTCCTAAGAAATCAAAATAATATGACAGTATATGGTTTTTGAAATGCATGGTGCTTCTCAAAAGCCGCTCTTATTATGCACTTAATATTTTCTTCTTATTTTCCTTGGAAACATTCCCGCAATATGAAGATGAAAGCAACTAAGCCTGAAAGATTCTCCAACGTTTCGTAGAACTAAAGGACACTGACTACTATTTGGCTTATACCATGAAATAGAAAGGTCCCGTGTCATCTTTCTGAGAATGCAGTGCTCTGCTGTATAAACTGTGCGGCTGCGCCTCTGTTCGAAGGAATGTTGCATTGATTGACTCACTGATCTAGTACAATTTTCATCCCCATCGTTTATCCCAAAATACATAAATCACCTGGAAAAGAATTGCCGGAACAAGTTGTCGAAGCTCCATCCTTGTTTCATAAAACTGTCGAGTGTCTTCATCCGGCCATATAGTAATGGTTCCTTCTTGTAATGCACGGCTAAGTGCTAGTGCGGAAACCTCTTCTTCTTCATCTTCGCTCTGTATTTCATATTTATTACATAATAAACACGATAATATCAATATGTAGTCGGTACAGATTTACTTGGGGATTGCAGTCCGTAAATGAAAAAATTTTTTTAATTTTAAGTACACATTTTGACCGTCTATAAATTACAATCACAAATGAACCAGAAATATGAAAATTTAAAGATTAAAATGACCTGTTCTTCCTTCATTGCTTCCATTTCAACGCCCAAATATTCACTGAGCTGAGTTCCACTCGTTAAAATTTTTTCATAGCGTGCACGTAATTCTCCCAGATGATTTCGGTCTTCAGCAGAAGCATCTCCCCTCGTTCGCGTCTGACGTTTTATTGAAAGCAATAACTGGTTCATTTCAAGTAGGTCCTACAACGACTACGACTAATTTATGTCGCTTACTTCGTGCATCTCACCAAAATCCAATTTTCATAATTCAATCTTTTAAAAAATATTGATTTCTCTAAGATGTCCTGCACAACTGATTGTGGTTAAGCTACATAAAATATTTATAACCAAATAAGGATGTGAATAAAATTAAGTTTTTTAAAAGATCACTGTCCAGCACTCCTTTTTCAAAAATTTTTGCTTAACCGTGCATGAATACCAAAAGATGGACCACAGTAAACAATCAGACAGCCCAGAGATCAAAAGACAGAGTGTCGAACATAAACACCGGAAAGGAAACAGTAAATGCAAAACTTATGAACAAAGCAAGTGCCTAAGGGATAGAAACTGACAAAAGAGTGGTTAAACGTTAAACTAAATCCGCTCGCCTGTTTTATGTGGTCCACCAGTGATGAGCGATAATCCAGAAGAAGCTGAGCGAATGTTTTTTTATGATCAACAGATATTACTGACGTTTCGGGCAACTTAATATTTGCAGCTGATGCAACCTACAAAATGATACCGTCAGTAAAAACACCAATTCCAATTCTCTGTGATGATTGAGTAAAATTCAAATTCAGAATTATTATAAAAAACACTAATCATAACTATACGCCTAACAATGAAAAATATTATAAAACCGATTCTGCTCTAACAAAGTGCGCATGACAGGTGCGACCACTTACTCCGGTAGTTTCGTGCTTGCAATGAAAATGTTATCACCCCCCAATTTTAACAGAAGGTTTAGCGAGCTAATAAAACTGATGGAACAATTTCATTTGCATATATATCCCCTCTTAGACAACTATAGTGAAAAATTAACGAGCAAGAACAAGAAATTTTAATTTATGAACTGTAATTTAACATGAAGTGACTTTTTACTTTCAATACAGTGAGCAGCATTGAAAAACACCTGTTTTATTGAGTAAGGATGCAAACCAAGTAAATCAACATTCATAGCTTTGCAAAATGGCAATACAATTGGAATGTTGATATGCTCGGTTCTGTCAGTGAGTGTAAGAAATGAAACTACAGAACCCAGAAGCTGAACGCCTTCCTTTCCGAAAACACCATGAAGACAGAGTTCGCCCAGCAATCTAAAACACAAACATTTTACGAACAACACAAAACCTACAAATGTAAACTGGTCGATTTAGCAAGCTTATTTAATTATCGCTTAAATAAATTTCGCGCCCACAAACGTGCAGTTCATATCGTTGTAATATCGTAATACTTTTTACATTATACTAATTAGGTAGCAAAAGAATTAATTTGAGAAACGACTAATAAAGACAACAAATTTAAGAAATGACTAACAAGGGCAACAATTTTAAGCATAGGTATGAGGATAAGAATCTGCCATATCATGCATTCATCAATAGTTAAACCCATGATTGAAGGGAATGAAACCTGATATCGACGCGCAATTTGGAAGGATTTTGAATCTTGTCATTTCGCCTTGATGGCAGCAGTTTGCGGAACTCCAGAAGCAGAAGGGATGAGAATTCTGCATAATAACAAGATAAATGCACACAAACTTTTACAACAGCTTGTACCTCGCTATATTTTATTTTTGCTTCGGCAATTGTCGCAGTCATTTCCTCCACGAACTTTGATAAATTAACCTGAAAAAAATTTTTGCAAAACCAACGATATCGTTCCTCTCATAAATCCTTGTGACTTATGAGAAAAACAAAAGAAAGAAAAAAGCTTGAAATTAGTTACCGCTACTGTGCAAATTGTTCAACTATTATTTAACAGATCGAAGTGGTAAACAGAAAGGTCCGATGCACTTTCCATATATCGCTCAGTAACGAGTCGCACTACTATCCAGGATAAGCGCTAAGGCACCTTGATGGAAACGAGTAAAGAGACAATTTGACATCATCAGATGAACAAGTAGGCAGATGAATCAGATGTGCAACAAAAATTAATATCATAAAATCCAAAAAAAAAAAAAAGAAGAAAACTAGATAACTGACTTTATCGACATCTTGCAAAACCGATGTCAGTTGTATGCATCCAATATTTTTTAATTTCTTCATAAAAGCTGTCGTCCGCTTCAGCGTACTATCCATTTTTCGAAGTTGTTCTTCGGACAATGGAACAGCATCTTCTAACTTTTTCCTATCATCAAGTTGACATCTCACTCGACTCTCCACTTCTTGTACATAAGTTCGTAAACGTTCATCCATTGCAACATCCATCCTAAATGCATATTCAACAAATGCTTATTCAAAGAAAGAAAGTAGATGGTAACAACCACACGTTTTAATTCCCAATCAATTTTTCATATAGCCATTTTCGATCAATACGCTGGCTAGAGAAAAAAAAGGGTTACTTTCTCTGACCAGCGCGATTTTAGATCATCACCTCAGCAAAACGTTCTTTTTTTTTGATTCTGTTTCAGTTACAGAAAGAACTGGATAAGAAAAGCGCGATGTAACAGGAATCTGAATAGCCTAACAGAGAAACGTATGCATACTAAAGGATGGGTCAAATACAACCGCTTAACCTGCTATCTCCTGACCTTTCTACTTTTCTAGCTTACAATGCGTTAGACTACTGTGACTCCGACACACCAAAACGCCCGAAGTATCAGCACAAGACAAAGCCCCTCACTCCATCCCCAGCAAGAAAAACGAGCCAATCGACAAAATAGCTATTCACCTGTCTGCCACAAAACAATGCCTTAAGGGTTTTATTCGGTAGCAGGCTCGTCGTGCAAATTTCTCGTCTCACGTGGTGAACGGTCGATATCTATCTCTGTTTTGTTCCTGTTTTGGCTTGATGGCTTTCCAAACTTTTAATTTGATGCGAAATTTTGATGGAAAGAGAGCACAGCTGGCACAGATAAGAGTGAGCCAAGGAAGTGGCATGAAGGATTCAATTTCATCAAAAATTTGATTAGGGTACTTTTGGCGTATTTTCATAAAATTTTACTCCCTTACTTGTCTCTTCTCTTATCTAAATGAACCAATTTCGTTTCTTTGATTTCATCACCTCCAACGGTTTTTTCCACATTATTTGATTTACAGAACTAGGGAAATATAAAGTTCGACTTTACATTTTCCCATGCTCATTAGTTTAAATCCTTTTAGCAACAGGTCCTTTGGTTCATAGATCAATTTCCGAAATACTGGACAGGAAGAAAGTTGCAACCCATTGTAAAGTACGTCAAAAAATGTGTCACTCATATCGATTCCCCATGACAAAAACATTGAGTTGAACTTAAAAATTGCTGAATTCTTCACCGAGTTTTCTCCCTCCTTTTTAAAAAATATTACTTTCTTTTCAAGATTTGAAAATATGAGAATTTTATCCCTCCACAACTGAACAGTTTTTCCTGAATTGAAACATCTAAAGCATCAAAAGCATATTAACTTATTCTGACAAACTTAAGGATAATATTTGATTGTATTACCGTACTTTTCAAATGAAATTCAATACTTGGAATTCCAGTAAAATGATATGGGAATAATAACTGGTGCGCATGATGCAAAGTATAAAACTTTTGGACAAGTGTAAAAGTCAGTTGGAATAAGAATTCCACCTGCAAATGACTGTTATTAAATAGCTCTCTAGATGCAGGAAATGGAGAAATCTTTTGAAATCGAAAATCCAACAACCACAGCGGAACTAGAAGATGTCAGTACCGTGAGAAAAGCAAAGCGGAGTTTGATGAATTACGCCGTTTATGCTGTTTAAAGATAAGAAATGAGAATTACCGTCTCGGTGCCGCTTATTTCTTGACAAACGTGATTGGAATATGGGGTCACTACCCCAAAGAAAGCAAAAATGTGACAGCAATTTGCGCGGACAAATGTATATTAGCACCTTTATTAATACATCTTGTCCGTTCGATGCTTTCAAATCTTGCTCGAAAGAGATTTTAAAATTTAATTTCTGGGACTAGTTGCTTGACATTTGGTACCAGATAGAACAATGACTAAAGTGCTCATATTTCGTTGTAATAACGATAGAATAGAAGTGCTCTATGTTCGGAATAGTGGGAGATCGTCGTGGTTAGGCTTCGCAAACGAAGATATGTGAAGGGCCTGTACCTGCGCTTATTGCAGGCGCGTTGATGGCTGAGAAGCCAGTGCGGACTAGATAAGTTCGAAT